GTTTACCGGGCAGTTCTGTTTGTGACGATATATATATATATATATATATATATATATATATATATATATATATATATATATATATATATTATGTATATATTATGTTGTAGACATGCATACTCACATATATACTCTAGTATCCAGTACTAGCTCTCTCTCTCGATCGATCGACCGATCGATCGATCGATCTGCACATCCATTAAACAAGGTTTTGGTGATTGTCAGTCATATGTGAATCTCAACATCATGAACCGGCCTGTTTGGGAGCTCGTGAAGGCGTCAGTGATGCATAGAGAGCGCATGGAGGAGAGGTCAGCGACTTGAGAGACTTCTCTTCTCTGCCACGCAAAGCTTCAGAAAAGACTGATCTAATTATTCACTAATCTCTGAGCAGTTTACTAATTTGTGGCTATTTTCCTGATACTATACTCCTGAGTCCTAACTAAAGCAATCTTAAATTCTTAATTGACCTGACTTCCTTTCCCTTTGTAGGATTCGCATCGTCATCATCAGGACGTGTTGAGATTCTCAGGATCAGTGCATCTGACCTAACATCCACATGATGAACTGGTTAAGAAACTGTCCTGTTTTTTTTTAAGCTTTTTGTGTACTTTTTTTTTCATTTTTTCCTTTCTTTCCTTTGTCGTTTTCACTCAACAAGTCGTTTTGAGTTTTGCTGAAACTTTTGTGTACATACGCTTCTGCCTTTATTTTTTTGTTTTCCCTGTGGGGAATTTTTGGAGATGTGCCATGGGATCATGTTTTTTTCTCTCTAAATGGATCGTCCAGGGAATCCCTATGGTGAGTTTTTGGGGATGATGCCATAGCCCGATCGATCGCCTTTTGTTTGAAGTGGAAGGGGGGGGTTCTACTGTTTTTTCTTGCATTTGTTTCCAAGTTTCTTTTTTTTTTTTTTTTTTTTTTTTTTTTTGAATCTGGGAATTCTTGCAGTTGTTTCCAAGTTAATTCCGTACGTATAAGGCGTTCAATTATCCGACGTAAGCCATGAATGAATGAATGGATGAATGAATGAGAACGTGCTTGCACGAGGACTTTTCTGGATGTATCTGACTGCAATTTCGGTCGTCCAAGGGTGTATCTGACCACAATTAGGTCCAGAGCTCGGTCAAAAAGGTACTAGTGTGCATATGATGCCCTGAACAAATCCCTTTGTGGCACTTGTTATTTTTATCTTCTTGGATGCTTTGCGTTGGTTTTCAATTTTTTTAAGCTTGAAGTTTGAACATACTTTTCTTTTATTTTTTTCTTGACGGAATTGCAAAAAAAAAAAAAAAAAAAAAAAAAAAACGCTCACATAAAGCGGCGATAATTACCAACATTCCTAAAGTACGCCTAACCCTAAACGAGGTTCTTAGTATTTGCCTAAGTTGGCACTCCTTACTAACCCGACCGTCTTCACCCGAATAGAACGCCCGGTCATTATAGCTGTATTTGGCACAACTTTCAGCCCAGATACGGCGATAATTACCAACATTCCTAAAGTACACCTAACCCTAAACGAGGTTCTTAGTATTTGCCTAAAGTACGCCTAACCCTAAACGAGGTTAACACCCCAAAAGAAGAGAAGCCAAATAGAAATTCTAACAAAAGCAACCCTAACAAGGGAACTAACGAATGTCCCAATGTCCTACCCACATGTGCCCATCCATTCCCAAGTCCCAAGTCCCAAGTCCCAATGCATAAACCAGCGAAAACAAAGAATTCAGGGTTCGCAGTTATTAACAACCAATTCTCAAAACACATGAATTTCTAACACTATCAAGACCGGGAACAGGAGAAAATGATCTAAAAAATAACCCTAATTTCTCGCTAGACTAAAACGGCTCTAAAAGAGAATCAACACTGAAAGCTTCAGCAAATTACTGTATTAAAATTTAAAATTTAAAATTTAAAAGGTAAAAAAGATGCAACAATTCATGGACAGATCGATCTAAAAGCAGCGCAAAAGCCGCCTCAGCAGACCCGTCATCGAAACAAACGATCGTACGGTATCCCATTCATAATACAATCGACAATT